GCCTGCTACCATCTGTTGAGCACCTACTATGTGCCAGACACTCTGTGGGGCAGCATTCCTGATGGGGGAGGGGGAAGGGAGAGAAGGAAGAGCTGGGAGCCAAACGGGCTGGGGGTTAGCTTCCCGCCTGCCTCCTCCCCCCAGCTCTCCCAGGCCAAAGGAAGGGGTTCTTGCATCAGCGCCTGCTCTCGGCCTCCTTCTCCGGGAACATCTGTTTCTTTTCTGAGTGGGGGTGGGGTGAGAAGAGAAGAAAGCGAGGGGGGACCAGGGGCTCCCATTCGGGCTTTCAACTCTCGAGCGCGGCCCTCGGTAATTGAATGCAGCTTCCCAGTGACGGCCCAGCACAAAGGGGGCCTTTCATGGGCAGCCCCGCCAGGCGGCCAGGCAATCAGGCAACTGTCTCAGCTCTGGGCCTCTTAACAGCAACTCAAAGCTACTCAATCAGCAATTACCAGGGCCTGAGGGGGGAGGGAGTACGGGGGAGCTCAGACTCCAGCCCTGGTGATGGGAGCCAGGAGGGGGCCAGCAGGAGGAAGGACCCCAAGAAAAGACAGGAACAAAAGAGAGGGAGCAGAGGAAAGAAAACCTTTCGCTTTTGGTGGGAGGGGGGGGGGCGCAGATGGTACCTGAATTGGAGGAAAGAGTGAAGTCAAAGCGGCCTTCTTACATTCCCGACTCCCTGCGTTTCGCCCGATTACCCCGGTGATGCCCGGCCCGTGCCCCTACTCTGTCCCCGAGTTCATCTCCGCTCCCCTGTGCTCAGGAAAGTGAATTCAAGTAAAGGGATGGCTGGGCTGGGGGAGGGAGAGGTGAGGGGCTCTCCTGTGCCCTGAGGAACCCTCTCCGAGATTTGCAAGAAAAAAGCATGTTAGGAACAAGGAGCTAGAGAGGCAAATTCTCACCTTTCAAATGTTTGATGGGGAAGTTGAGCAAGGGAGTGGGGGGCAGTGAGGGTGAGGAGGGGGCAGTGAGGGTGAGGAGGGGTCCGTGAGGGTGAGGAGGGGGCAGTGAGGGTGAGGAGCAGGACAGGGGGCAGCAGGGGGTGGCAGGGACCACCAATGCCCACTAGTAACAGGGACACGCATGGCAGTGGTTGGGTGAAGAGAGAGGAGGAGAGCTGTGCCCAGTGACACCCATCCTTGCATAGCACCAGCCAGCCGCGGGCCCAGCGCTCCAGCACGTGTTGGAAGGGGGGCAGCTGCTCAGGCTTCCAGAAGCTTCTCCCCTCAGCCAGGCCTGTGCCTCTTCTCCTGCTCTCTCTAGGGGCCCAACCCACTCCTGTGCACCCCGGCGGCTCCGCAGCTCTGCGCCCACCCGCAGTCACAGCTGACCGGCTGCTGGCCACACGTGGGCTCCTGGTTTTCTTCTCCCTCCTTCCCCCTCCGGCTCTGCTGGCCCTGGAATCTCTGGAAAAATAAACTCAGGAGGTTGAACATTTGACTCGGTTTCCTGGTGTTTTTGTTTTCTGGCAGGCGGTGCGGGGACGGTGGAGGGGAGTCCGGCGCCGTCTTTCTTGTTCCTCCTCGGACGTCAAACGAACGATGAAAATCCTGCTATAGGAGCCCGGGAGCCGGGGGCCAGGCTGCTGGGGGGGCGGTAGAGGGTGCTC